CCGACGGAGAGCGCCTAGAGCGTAGACGCCACAGGTTTGACGTGCAACACAATTGCCCGGCTATTTGCTATGCATTTTTTACTACACCTGGATAGCGATGTATATGTAGATATTTCTTTAATGATCAACTAGAGCCTATTAAGACGGCTATTAAAAACAAACGCACGTTCAATTATATCCTGTTTCGTGCCACTGTACGGAATCCGTTTCCGTCCTTTGGAAAACTCCCTACGAAAAGCGGCACTTTCCGCGTTTTCCAGATGCCGTGCGGTCAGATTAACTGAGGTACGGATGACCTTATCTGGAATTGTTTTCAACTGCAAAATATAAGCCTACGCACAGTTAGCAAGCAGGACAAATGTAGTCGGTAAGGAGTAAAACTGTAGCTTCGCCGTTACAAACATTGACTACTGATTTTGTACACTGCCCACAGTTGTGTTATCTTTAAACATCGCCTGAGCTATAGAAAAGTATTCGCTACCTCCCATCTTTCTTTCCCACACAAAAAAAGAAAACACAACAAAAACAAGCAAACAAACAGTCCTTAAGCAGAAAATGGCCTTAGTCCGCGCAACTTTAAATTGCTTCTGTAGAAGTGGAAATTATGAGTAAGCGTTTAGTTCAGGCTTAACGATTTCACGAAGGTTCGTTGTATAAGGTATACCTAAAGGCATAGCAAGACAACTATAGGATTGTGAGTTTAATGGCAGCAACGGCGCGATTGCTTTTACCGTGGACACTATAGAGCCTAGCTCGCACTGTTCTTCGGCGATTTCGCCATCGTACCAAAATCTGCTATACGTCGCTTAACCTTACAATGAACCGCCAAGTACGCTACGAGCGAACGAAGACAATTCAACGCCGTGCAAGTGCCACGTGATCCCTGCGAAGGACGCAGCGGTGCTCTGGCCCCGTATTCATGGAGTACGTTCGTTGCGCTGTATTATGGTTCAGATGGATCGTTCGCTCTGGTCCATCTTAAGACGAAACGGAGTATATCGATGCTGGGGTCTGTTGGAGAAAATTTTCCGCGTTCGTTTCGATCGAATGCAATTAGAGCATTTTGGCTGGGAGAGCTTCGCTTCGAGATTAGTAAAACACGCCGAAATTCGGGGCAAGAAAGCTGCAAGCTCTGGGCGAAAACAACCTTTCTCTTAAATCGATGCGGAAAGCGGTAAACAAACAAGACGCAAACGATGTTATTATAATCGGGAAAGCGAGGGTTCGAAGCATTCCGGAATTTTGTTTTCGCGGCAAGATTGAATACACACGAAAGGACTCCACGCCACACCAACGAACAGCCCAAGCACGTTCGCTTTTCGAGGTTCAAAACGTAAAATGCTACAATAATAATAATAAAAAAATGGACGGCAAAGTTTTTTTTTTTTTTTAATATAAATAAAACTTTATACAGAACATACATGCATGTGAACTTGGATAAAGTTTAAAAAAATGTAGGAAGCTGCTGAAGAATGAACATTTTTTTCGCTGTGTAGCACACGCAACGTTCAATTTCCTTTTTTCCCTACAACAGTTATTCGAGTGAGGTCTTCGGCGAACATTGTGAGAAAACTTAGTGATTGTGTATCAGTAGCGCCATAATTTACGGTTCGAAATAAATCGGATATAAGTGCGTTGCTACATGTCACTTGTCAACAATTATGAACCCATAAATGACAGCAAGTAGGCGATCGGTAGCCGAGCGTGCTAACACGCACTGCAGCTCGGAGCATGTGCGGCGAAAGCTTGCGCTGCAGAACCCCGTCATCCTGGGTTCGATCCCCACCCCTGTTCGTCCTTATTCGAATGACCGTCGTATACTGCCGTGCGCTCGCGTAGTCAGTAGTGCGTGATGCACGTTAAAGACCCCCAACATCGCAGTCGTCCTGCACTGACAAAATTTCTCATTTGCGGCTGAGACTCCAGACGCTGATTTGGGCTGACCAACCTCCTGCTGTCTGCACATACGCACTACACAATTAGTATTCTATGACGGCACGCGAAGGCTCGACGTGTACAGCAATGGGCTTCCTGCCTTGCCCAGGGGGCGCTACGAAAACGGACTTGTTTTGGGTAGTACCATAGTCTCCTATGTACTGACAAAACCTAGCAGATCGCCACGAGAAGCGGCCGCCGGAATGAAAAAGTTGGAGCGGCAGACAACGGATGAGAAGAGAGTGAAGTGACTGGCGCCCCGCTGCGGCGAGACGTCGAAACACAGTTCTCCCGAGCGAACAAGTGTGTTTCGGGTCCTCGCCGCTGCAAAAGCTGTGTGCTGACATCCAGGTTCTCCGAGAAATGTCTTTTTGATGCTCTGTGCTTCCAGATGTCGCGCTCAAAATCTGCGACCGGGCACTCTATGGCTCCGTCGTCGAACTGAAGAAGCTATGGTAGTGCAAACATGAGCGTCTAAAACTGTCACGCGTGCAGAATCGCGCCAGCTCTGTTGCGAAACGCAAGGTCACGAGGAAAATACAAAGAAACCACAAAAATTCGAACGCCGTCGAAGCACAGGTCAAAGATAAGACGCTAAGAGTGTGAGCCAAGAGACACCGTTTCATGTAATCCCAAGTAGAAATGAAAAAAAAAAAAGGAAAGCGGCGCGACATAGACGTTCTGACGTCACCACCTAGAGATAAGAGGCGCGTACCCTAGCGGTGGTGGCATGATTTTGGCACTTTTGATTGTTTTACGGCGTTGAATCTATCGGATGTAGGGCGTCCAAAGGAGTTTTTCCGTTCTTCAACACCACGCAGAAAGACAAAAAGCTCAACCAACGTGCCATAAGTAGTGCGACGCTCAATCAAGTGAGCTTGTACCACCCAAAATGAAGGCACCACAGTTTGTTCAAAGCTTCAGCGCAAGAGGCCTATCGCATGTAGGGCGCGTGGCTTGTGCTTCGGTCCGCGTCTTTTATCTCTGCACGGCGTCGTTTCCGCCGCGAAATGGCGGACCGACCCCTGCGCGCGTATTTCACGCGAACCATCGAGGAAACAATCCGTCGGAAATTGACAGATGGCACGTGCTTGTGCACGCCGATCGATCAAGACCAGCACGCAAAGGCCCAGGTTGTCTGACGGGGACTTTTTCACCTGCCGCAGGCGTTTCCATGGCACCCAACCGTGCGAGGGATTACTAACGGCATCGCCAACGATGCATCGTTTTTTTTTTCTTTTTTTGTTTAATCTCGCAATCTTTTTTTTTTACGCCCGATAGCCTCAGGTTCTAAGCATGTATTATATTCGTTGGAGGGAACATAAGTATACACTTGTGCGCGCATGGGCGACAAGAAACTTCGGCGTTTTCGTTTATAGTAATTTTGTTTTTTTAGTGTTTCGGGAGCCATCAAGAACGACCTAGGAAACAACAATAGGTAACGCGGCTCCTGCCAGACTGGGCGGACACGTTCAGACTGGACACAACAAAACCGGACAGTCTGGTGAGGGTTGTCTGCGCCGCTCGTGAAGCGCTTAAAAACAAGCTTTGCACATTGGCGGATCCGAGTGTTAGGTAGCAATTGGGTCCGGTTGGCATCCATTGGTGTAAATTAGGTTGTTTAAAATATATCTAATAAAGCGTCCTTATTCACACGTATAGGTGTGCTCATAGTAATAATACCGGGACGTTTTACGGTCCCATCACAATTTTCTATAGCAACGTGCACTCGCGGCTTTACGCTAGATGCATGCAAAGTCTACCCCGCCCCCTCTCAATTAATAGATCTCAACGTATTGGGTCTGACAATCTTTCCTTTTAAATTTTAAGTGTGGCCTAATTTTTATCTATTGTGTGAAATCACAGCACACATAAAAAAAAATGCAGCGGCACTTTGAGGTAAATGTTCAAGAAAACGCCAAGACCTACAAAAACGTACCTAAGATGACCGGAACCATTATAAGGAACAAGTAAACGTGCATCATAATGCCGCGCGCGCAGCTGGTCAGGTACGCAGCGCGCCCGCGGCCTAACGGTTATCGTGATTGCTTCCCACGCGATGAGCCGAGGTTCGATGCTTGGCTGCGGATACACGTTTTTGTTGTTTCTCTAATGTCGCGTTCCGGTAACTTCAAGAACCCTGTTGCTTATTCGAGGTTAGAATGTTCTACGCGAACCTTCTACGCCGATTGTTCCAGACGACCACGCGTCTACATAAGAGAGGCTCCGCATTGCGAGCCGGAGGCAGTCCCGCCCCAGCGTTCGATCCTGCTGTTTCGCCGCTATCGACGCCTGCGACGCTAGCCCTTGTCTGTTTTGTTTTGGGCGCAAGTCCGCCCCAATAAACGTTCAGTTTGCTTCAGCTTTCATCGCCTCATCAATTGTCATTCGCGTGACAATATGTTATATAGGGTATCACGCTAGGACACTTTGTAACGTCAACTAAAGTAGAGAAGATTAGATCATTCTGAGTATATTTCAGGACCTCTGCTTCTAAAATTTATGTAATTTTCAACTTCGAGTAAGAATTACAGTTTTTGCTTCGCTTAATAATTTGTCCAGTCTATGTCGCCTGTGCGCAAATTCGAGCCAATTTCGAGAGCAAAAACCCGTTTGATGAATTGCTTCTTGGGCGTGCCAAAATATACCGAATGCTTCTTGGTTTTGGTAGTGAACCTCATTGCTAGATTACTACTTGGAAGTGTTAAAACATAGTTTTCCTTAGTATCGCACATTGGCAAAAATAATCAAACTCTCCCTGGATATTCTACTACAAATTCATGCAGTCTGGCGCACTACAAAAAGCGCTACATCGTCCGAAGTACCGAGGTCATTCAGCGCTAGTAAACTGTAAATATACTTCTCGAAAAAAAAAAATAGTTAGGCGAAGTAGCAAATTAGCAGTCATGCAGGTTAACCTCTTAGTGTTAATAAACACACATCTTTTTTCTCTCTCTCTCTCAATTTCTAGCGTTCGCTAGAGCCTGCGTGGCAAACAAATGCAACTTTCCTTGTCCCCCGCATTTCTCCTTCAAAGCTTTCAAAGCTCGACAGTCATGAAGAGCTCACCTGTCAATGCAGATGGCCATGAGTGTGAAGACGCTGGCCGCCACGGACACGATGGCGATAAAGTTGGACACCTTGCAGAAGGCTGTGCCGAAGGGCCAGTTCCCGTTCAGCATGTAGATGAAGTTGAAGATGACGTTCAGCGTGGACACCATCGTGTCCGCCAGACTGAGGTTCACGATGAAGTAATTGGTGACAGTGCGCATACGCTTGTGCGCCAGCACAATCCAGATGACGATCAGGTTGCCGCCCGTGGCCACCATGACCATGCAGCCGAAGAGCAGAGTCCAGGCCGCCTGGCCCCACCAGGGCATGATGTACACATTCTCAGTCATAATGTCCTCCGAACTCAGGTTCACCAGGGACACGGCGTCGCCGCTGGCGTTGCCCAGGTCGCTCTCGTTCAGCTCCATGTCAACTCAGCACGACATGACGACCGTCTCGCTTCCACAGGGGTCCTTGGAAAAGCGAAACTTTTGAGCACTGCACAAACCGCCCACACGAAGCACGCTCTGAGGGGCCAACTTGTTGGCCGTTGCTGGTCACAAAATCCCGAACCGCTGAAGACGATGACTAGTCGCGGAGGTCTTCCAATTTGGTCCGAGGTACAAACACCTCTCTTTGCTACAAACGGAGGATCGCTTAAAAGGATGGAGCCACAGCCACGATCGCTGATGACCTAATTCTCAGCAGAGCTCGACGTGGCTAGGCTTTGTGACACCAACGAGGCTTGAGCCCTCAAAAATATGACATAAATATCAAGAGCAAGCTTCGTCGAGCGTCGCCGGAACGTCTAAAACTGGGAAAAGAGGAAGATAGAAATACTACTATTTTGTTGTATCACATTCAGGTGCTCCTGTCGAAGAGGCCGCTCTTCAAGCTCTGGAGGCGTAGACAAAGACGTCAACAGAAATAGAGACGCACAAGAACACGAGCGCTGGCTAGTCAAGTCGGCATGACCGGTAAACGCGACACATCTACCGAGGGACACTGACCAGGTGAGCCGCGAACCGCCAAGTCGAGAGGCGTCTCCACGGGCAACACGCGGATGATCAGTCCCAAAGGAGCCAGGACTTCGAGTCGCAAGTCCGTGCACCGGGTTTGAGATCCCTGATTGGGGACGACATGGAGGTTTCGGCGTCGTGGGGCTCCCGCGTCGCAGCGAGGGGCGCTCGAGTCGTGCTCGGTCGTCCGGGCTGAAGTCGCCGCCGCCGACGTCGGCTCCCGACCAAGACTGGTAGCGATCTCGACGGGAAGCGGACAATAATCTGGCCGCTTCGCCGACTTCCGGCCGGCGTCGTGGTCCTATTAACCGGCAGGAGAGGCGGCGGGGGCGAAAGCTCGCAATCTGGTGACGCGTCTCGGATGTCCTGTCGGCCTCGAGGGGGCTTGCTCAGTGGGTGCACACCAAGTTCAGAGCCGGGGTGCTCTTAAGAGTGCACTTGCCTCGACGCTCTCGGCGGTGTTCAAGTTGTTCTGGATGCTTTCGGCAGAGGATCGGAAGGCACTCCTGCATCTGCGATAAGGAAGAAAAAATAGTTGCAAGGTTATAAATAACTATGGCTCAGTGTCTTCGGATAAATCAGAACAAAAATACCTGAAAAACACTCTCCGGTAAAATTTCTGTTCATTAAAATTTATCGAAAAAACTTCAAAATTTCGAACCCGCAACGCAAAAAAAAAAAAGAAAACAACCTAAAGCGACGTCTTTTTTTAAAGTAAGTTTGATAAGAGCACTCGGTTAGTGGTCCCGAGGGGAGGCCAATTCAGTTTCCATCGAAATCTCGGACTGCTGACAAAAAGTAGTTTGCCTTTTGCTTTAAGGTCGTCAAGGTTCGCTCAGCACAACGTTTCATGGTACCTCTAAGTCATGACAAAAGCTTTTTTTTTAGAGCGCAGCTCTTAGGGGCCCGTTCCCGGCTTGAGCGGCGTCGGCGTCACCGTCGCCGTCGGCGTAACCAAGGTCACCCCAAGGTCACGCCACCCCCAAGGTCATCCCAAGGTCACGTGACCCCCACGGTCACCGCAAGGTCACGTGACCCCCAAGGTTACGTGACCCCCAAAGTCACGTGACCCTCGAGGTCACGTGCCCCCCCCCCCCGAAGTCGCGTGACACCCCCCGAAGTCACGTGACCACCCCCGGGGTCATGTGACCTCCCCGATGACGTCATCATCACTGATGACGTCACCGGCATCCGCATAGTCATCATCACTGATGACGTCATCAGTGACGTCACTGATTACCTCACCGGCATCCGCATCGTCATCGTCATCATCGCTGATGACGTCATCAGTGACGTCACTGCTGACGTCACCGGCATCCGCATCGTCGTCGTCATCATCACGGATGACGTCATCAGTAACGTCACTGATGACATCACTGGCATCTGCATAGTCATCGTCATCATCACGGATGACGCCATCAGTGACGTCACTTGGGGGTCACCGACATCCGCATCGTCATCGTCATCATCGCTGATGATGTCATCGGAGTCCGCATCGTCATCGTCACTGATGATGTCATCAGTGACGTCACTGATGACATCATCGGCATCGTCATGTGACCCCCAGGTCACGTGACCCCCCCCCCTCAGGTCACTTCACCCCCCCCACTACCCTTCCCTCCTCCTCCTCCTCAAGAGCTGCGCTCTAATTCGGTGTTACAGGGAGTTGTAAACGGCTTTCACTTTTTTTTATGTCCAGTTTTGACCATAGCGTTTATGCTCCTTGGGGGGAGAAGACGTAGTGTTTTAATAACAACGAAAGCTATGAACTCGTAGATTTAATTGAAGGGGGATGGAAGGTGAAGATTACATGCATCCCAGCGACAACGTTGAAGAGTTCGGTTATTTCAGAGTATCCATTGCTATTGAAGCAACACTTCTCTGCTATATTTGTCGTGGGATAGTGTGTATAGCCAATAGCAAGGTCGCCACTGGCAAATGCTGTTGCGTAACTATTACTCCATACAGGTAAGTTCGCATGAATTTGGGGTACGTTTTTGTCCGCATATCTTTTTTTTTTTAAATTGCCACCACCGCAAAACTGAACACTAAATATTAGATAATTGAAAATCTATCAAAAGTAAACTCTCATAAACCTCGTTTTTCCAGCTAAAATAAACTCTAAAAAACACCTCCCCATTTTCGTGAGAAATAAACTTCGCAAACAAGAAATCATAGTTATAACCCGAAAACGCCGTTTAGTCTTAGCTTTGTTTTCATATTTCGACAGTATACTAAGGAACTACTTAGCAGGGCCTTATAACTTCTGCTGTTGCAAAATAAATAAAAGAAAGGAAGCTAAGTGGGGCTGTACCAGATATATCGCAGCCGGGTGGTAGACATCTAATATCACGGACTGTCATCGTTCTAGTCTTTACAAATTTATTCTCTAGATATCTTAGCATACTAGAAAAGAAACAAATGACATTCGTATAGGAGTTCTTAAATGCACGTGTTCCGAACCGCAGATGTAGTAACGGTATTCACACTCCTTATTTTAATATATACAAAAAAAAAAAAGACGTGAGAATACATTCATGTTACTGAGCATGTCGAATAAACCTATTCTAAAATGTTAATATCTACTATATACTCAGAATAGCACTACTGTACTATCGGGGAAAAATGAAATGCGAACAGAAGAGCGCATGGCTCGCGGTACAGGCTGCGCCGCCTGGAAGTGAACCTAGGGGCGAGGGTGCGTGGCCTACTTCGATGTGTTCACGCTCCTCGATTGGCGCTCCCCCCGCTTCGGCAGTGCGCCTCTCAGTGCGCTGAAAGCTGTCACCGCTATCTTTGCGTGCTCGGCGAGTGCGGCCAGCTTCTTTGAACCGCACGCGCTGAGCCAGCAAAGATAGCGGTGATAGCTTTCAGCGCACTAAGAGGCGCACTGCTGAAGCTTGGGGGGCGCAGAGGGAGAGGCATGAACACGTCAAAGTAGGCCACGCACCCTCGCTCCGAGGCTCACTTCCAGGCGGCGCAGCCTGTACCGCAAGCCACGCGCTCCTCTGTTCGCATTTCATTTTTCCCCGATAGTACGTATAAGAGCAAATACGTAGAATGTCATACTCCGTAGAAATTTTAAGCCTGAAGAATGATAACAAAAAGGGACAACATAACCCGAATCGTGTGAAACTGCCCCTTCTATCTGCACTTTCCAGAGTTAAAATGATTAGATTAGATTAGATCGTCTCGCTCGCATTCTTGATTTAGAAGTTTACTAACGTTTGCATTGTTTAATAATAAACTTTATTCAGACTCAGTAGTCTTGGCTGGTGGGGCAAAAGGCGATCTAACGCCGCCTGACAAGGCTCCACCAGCCGTGTACATCGTTCAGCAGCAGAGGGAAATAATAAAAAAAAAAACACGTAAAAAAAAAAATAAGAAAAAAAAATTCAACAGCATTTAGACAATGATAGGACAAAGTCTAAAATGTTAGCGCTAGAAGTAATATAAATACACATATCACTCGGGTACAATCCAAGTCAAAAGTAATAATACATTCACATGAACACACGTCATACCGTTTTCAACACACGTCATACTGTTTTCAACGCAACTTTATAGTACTTACTTACAAACAGGTCTGCACAAGCACTCATGTGCTTTTGCGTACCTGTTTGTAATGATGCATATTTTCTTCGTGCAATAAAGACATTATTATTATTATGGTGCACAATCTTCGTCTGCGCCACTCTCCAGTGCAACGTCCTTAAGGCGAACACGGTCTGAGGCTAGCGTCTGGAAGACCTTCTTGTGAAGGCCTGAGTCATATTCGCCTGAGTTAGCTGCGCTAACTGTGCCATAAGACTGAATTATTGCGCTTGCAAGTCCTGAATAACTTGCATCACGCATGCCATGTTTTCTGCGAGTTTGGAGACGTCAATATTAGGTGGCGCCTGTGGCGTCGGCGGCGGTTCCAGTGTCGGCGTAGCTTCGTTCTGCACCAAGGGGGGCAGTTGAGGATTGGGTCTCCCGCATTGCACTCACAGCTGCGGCAGGTGCGGGTTCTCCAGTGAGAGGCGCGCGGGTGTGAGACACCCTGTCAAGCCATACTGGTTCGTGGTCCTTCAGTTTCTTCTTGAGTTTAGCGACTCTTTATCACCTCGCGGATGCTTCGGCTGCTCGAAGTTGTTCCTCTTCCTTGAGTTGTTCGAGCTCTTCGCTCCAGTTTCTCAGTTCTTGCTGGAAAAGATCTCTGTGATGTCCATGCTTCCGACGCATGGCTTGTGCGTGGGACGGCTTGCCTGGGTTCTTCAGGACCCCCTGCGGCGGTAGTGAAGGTGACCTCTGGTCGGGTGATTGACGTCTCCGGGTCCTCGATGCATCGCGCCTGACTCTGCGGGATAAGGACCTTCCTCACGCGGAGTGCCCGCATGACCAGGATCTCGACTTGAAACGACTGCGGTTTCGTGAGAGCAGTGGTGCGAAGCGGTTGGAGAGTTTGAGTGCATCGGGCTCGACGACGACCTCTTTATCGCTTGGTCGGCGGTTGCTGCAGGTTGGAGGGCGCGTTTTCTTCGGCTTGATGCGCGACTGCAGTCCTCTATCGATCTCCGTTTTCGCCGAACAGCCGGGGTCTGTGGCGACGTGTTCATCGGAGTTGCAGTTGCGGCAAATGCGCTTGGTGCATGTGTGACCTTCTTTAGTGACTTCTCCGCAGTGCTCACATCGCTCCGTTTGTGTACAGATATCGGCTTTGTGGCCGAGGCCGTGACACCTGTTGCAGACGACCGCTGCTGGACAGTGTGGAGTGACTCTTGTTATGGCCGCGTGATATTGCACATGTTAGGGAATTTTGTCCCCCTTGAAGGGGATGAGGCAAGTCCCGCTTCTTCCCATGGGTCTTGCTTAAAGCACTGTGGGTTTCGGAGCTAATGCTGCTCGTCAGCATCTCGGCCGATTCGTCGGGATCGACTTTGTAGATGACTCCGTGTACCATTCCGCGCGTGGGTGTTTGGTACGGATGCACTTCCACCGTTTCATCTGTTGATTGGAATAAGGTTATAACTAGGAGACTTTCGAGGTGTCTTGGCTCGTGCACGGACACCGACAACGTGTTCGTTCACACAGGTCTAGCCTGACACCGGGGCCCAAAGCTCTGAGAAGTCGAGCAGCGATCATTCTTCTCGGAATGCTGTCGGTGTTGAATTTCGTTCGCGGTCGGATTGTGACGATGAGCGTGGAGCGTCTCGGCGGAAAAGAGGCGGCACTTTCTCGTCCTAATGGCGGTTGTTTTCTACCCACGTCAATTCACGGGTTCGGATTGCCGTCGGTGTTATCCTAGTCTTCGGCTGAAGTGTCGTTTATCGACGCCGAAGAGCTTTCCTCGGTGGTGTCCATTTTGGGGTTATTCGAAGCTCCCTCCTTTCGGAGGCGCTTGCGCGGGGTTTTCGTCACTCTCGACGGGGCAGGAGCATCCTCGCTCTCGGCCGCGGAGACTCCGGGTGCCGTGGACAGCTGGGAATCCATCGACGTCATATCGAGGTCATCGAGGTCGCCGAGGATCAGT